TAAGACAGTGAAACTTATAAAATATAAAGTAATAAATACAATAAGACGCTTAGACAATAAGAATAACAATAAGGTGAAGGAGATAGATAGTAGTAAATGATAAGACTATAAGTCAAATGTAAACAACAGGACCAATAGGTACAACACTAATGTAATGATGATATTATGTTCTCAATAAACTATTACAAACTCAAACTCGAAACACTGTTTTCCAAATCACAGTGCAAGTTGCAAGATGCCAAAGTAGCATTTGATTATTACGGTACACTCTCTAACGTCCACCGATCAAATGGTATCTCTCTCAACAGAGAAACTCTGCACTGCTTCGTAGAGGGAGCGTGCGTTCCAGTAATTAGTATAGTTCAATGCTGACGCTGCACCTTCCGAGAGGGCACTTTTGTGACGCACGGTAACGGGCACTAACGGGTGGTGTACAGTGGTGAAAATCGTCTACGGTGTAATTTTCATTTCGTTTAACGCTGAGCTAGGTGAGCATTTTTCATCTTTTCCCATCGCATTTTGTGAAAGCATTTAGCGCGCGCATACTTCTTGCTAAATAATCATGCTTTTCCAAACTAACCAAACGCAAGTAACTCCAACATTCTGCAAGCTATATTCGCGCGTTATTCGAATATTTCGTTCTAAAATAATTAATAATCTCAGTCATTACGTTTCTCGTAAGCACGTATTACTTTTTAAACTGCGCTTTCGATGAAGAACGGTTGGAAGCACTTATGAGTGGCATTATAGAAAATGCATGTTCCAATTGCCTACTTAACCCCTTCCTGGTATAAAACGATTCGGAGCCCAGTAGCTTATGGATAATTGAAACGTGCTTTCTATTTCTCTGCTTCTATATTTCTTAAGACGAACAGAAAAAGTAAATACAACGTAGATCTCACGAATAAACCTGTTTCACAACCTAACTCAAATTTTTGTTCATAATGAGTTACAGATTTGGCATTATAATTTTACACTATGGGGGACTCCGATGATGAATACGATAGAAAGAGAAGAGACAAATTTAGAGGAGAGAGAACAGAGTCGTATTCCAGAGAGGGTCGTAGAGATGATCGGAGACGAGACGATTGGGTTGACAGGTAACTATCAAACACATGAACCTTTAAAGCTTATTTAAATCACTGGAAAGTTCTGTGTGTTTATGCAGATAGAACATATTTTATGAGAACTGGCTGCTGTAACTGTAACAGTAGGAATTATTTTAGAGAGTGGTCCAGTCGCCCTAGACAACGCCCAGACTACAGGGAGTATCGTGGTGGTGGAGGTGGCGGACGAGATAGATATAGTCCAGCAAGATCACAAGAAATGGCACCTCCGATGAAAAGAATGAGAACCGATTGGGACGATCGACCAAGATATGGACACGATTATTACGGTGGTGGTGGTGGTGGTGGTGGTGGTGGTGCCGCTTCCTGGGGACCGGACCACTATGGGCCACCCCATCATGGCAATCATCACTATGGAAACCATGGTAACAGTAGCAGGTTAGTATTTCATATGTCATTTTTATAATGATCTTCTTTTTTCTGATATTTTGTTTTGGATTTACAAACAACGTCGTTATGAAAAAGAGAGGCTGTATTGTAAACATGCAAAAAAGGAGTAGATTCACTCCAAGATTGTTGGCCCGCTTGAGGTAGTGCTCATACAATTCGCATTTGTTAACCATCTGTTACGCTATTTCGAATTCTGTGCAGTCGAGAGGTGGCTGGCAACTTCAGCAATTCCAATATCGAAACCCAACCGCCAATGATGACATTCAAAGCGTTCCTCGGTACCCAAGAAGATACGATCACTGATGAAGAAGCTATTAAACGCTATAACGAATACAAACTGGAATTCAGGAGGCAACAATTGAATGAGTTCTTCGTTGCTCACAAGGATGAGGAATGGTATATGTCGTTTTGTCTTTCTAAGTGATTCCTGATATAACGTGAAGCTCAGTCGTACTTGAATGTGGATCTAAGAAAAATTAATTTCTACAGTGGTTTAACACACGTCTCATCTACTAAAATACTAAATTTTGTAACTAAAATTCGTATACATAGAACCGTATTTCGTGTTCATTGTGCTTACCGTGCTTATCCCACTGTAGGAAATAATCTTCCAGTCCCAACGGAATTATCAAATTCTGTCCAGGTATGTGCAGCAACTCATGGAAGTAATTCTGCTCCCTCAACTACTGATTTTAGATGGTTAATACTTTTTTTAGGATACTTATTACGCGATTTTAATAGAAATTTAAGAAGCAGACTTTTGATTGATGTAAACTTTATTGAGAAATAGCAATTCTTGGAATTCAAATATCAGAAAATAGAATAAAAGTAGGAGTTATAAAACTAATTGTAGTATAAAAATTGTGTTTAAATATAATGCAATCTCATTTAAGGCAATCAAATATTTAATAGTAAAATATTTAATATTAGCTGTATTAAATTACTTATCAAGAATGTCCATTTATTACAGTGTATATATTTATCCATGAGCATCGTATAATAATTATCCTAAAAATATATTAATCATCTAATGTCAGCAGCTAAGGAAGCACGAATATTTCTACGATTCACTGTATGTACAGAGTGCATATGTACGTTTGACAGAAGACTGTTAGGGTATAGTGGCTTTATAATTTTTGCTAAATTGCAGACACAATTTTATCGGTAATTTCAAGCCAATATGACCAGCTCTGTCTATCCCTACAGCGTACAGCCAGCAACGCCTTATGTCATGGGCACAGGTCACCTCGCACGTTTATTTTTTCGTACGATATTTTATGCATACCGCGTCTCGCGCATCGCAGAAGAATCGAGGTGTCTATTAGGTAGTTAAACAAAAATGCGAGCTGGGCGCGCAAAGCCCAAAAAACCTGCTCGCGATAGGCCGCGTTCTAAACCCGTTTAATTATTATTCATATTCGAAAGAATACGCTATCGTTGCAATAGACCTCTGAGTCGACGAGAAAACTGAATGCGAGTAAAAATATCAGACCTACAGGTGAGGCCTCATTCTGTAACCGACAATGTTGACAGTAAAACTGATAATCTTTGTAAATAATCGTCTCAAGAAAAGAGGATACACGTTTAACATTAATCACGAGGAATGATTCGCTCTAAATACGGATGGGAAACAACCGTTTTTACATTTTATATTTTATCCAACGCTAGTCGCAACGGATCTGTCGATCGCTATTGTACAACCCCTGGCAAAAAGTTTTTAACCAAACGCGATAGCGCAAAGCTAAACAGAAAGCAATTGCAGTTATTTTTGCAACGAATGAGGACTTATTTTCAGACCTTCTATCAACCAAATATTTTGTTCTCTTGCTCTATCCTTTCCAATAATAAGTGAAGATTTTCATTATTTCGTTACTATTAGTTTCACGTAGCATTCGTATTTAATAGCATTTTGTACCGTTAAGATACAATTGTTTCCATTTAGTTTCGCACTGTGTCCGATCGGAAACTGTTCGTCAAGGGTTGTATAAATATATTTCTGAACTCGAGTTCATTCACGACCTCGAGAGGTTTTAATTGAGAAGCACGAGTTGTGCCTGTACAAATAGATATGTATAATCACGGTATAAAATTGTATTGGGAAGTTATCAGAAATATCGATAATTTTCTATGTAATGCGACTTTTCCAAACGTAACGAACGATAAATCCACAAATTGTACGTCTGTTTGCTTTTCTATCGACGAGAGCCTTCTTCTCGGTCCGACGCTAATACCGAATTTTCTGTCGATCGTCAGGTTCAAAATAAAATACCACCCGGAAGAATCAGTGAAGAGAAAAGATGAGCAAGTGTCAGCACTAAAGGTACTGATTATTTGTGTAATATTTTCTCTAGACTAGTACTCAAGGAATGAGTTATAAATCTTATACATATCTACTGTATGAGACTCAAATCCTTAAGGCTCGTTCATTCTACAGAAACGGGTTGAAGTTTTTTTGGAAATGCTCGAAATGGAAGAGATAGACAAAGTTTCGGTAGACGCTGATCAAGCTGACGCCCTCCTACATTTGTTAGACGCAGTAGTCATTAAATTAGAGGGCGGTACCGAGGAGGATTTACAAGTTTTGGACGTGAAACCAACGAATCCAATTTTATCGAAGGACACAACTAGAGATAAAGAGGATACAAAAAATAAAGCTTCAACTGAAAAGAAACTTGAGAACAGGTGTGGTTTGATGCTTTCTATTAAAGAAACATTTTTCGTGAAATGTTGAAAATCGTCGATGTAGAGTTTAGTTGATTAACAATTTCTTAATTGAGCTGTATTGTATGGTTTATTTAACCGTAATTAACAGTGACGCAAATAAAACGGACGAGGCTTCGCGCACAGAGAAAACGTTTAAGAATGGAGAAAGCGTGGAGACCGAAATGAAAAGCGCAGAAAAAGATGAAAATGGCTCCGTGGTGGAGGCTGAAAAACCTGAAGACAGTATAGAAGATGCGAAAAAGGAAGACGATGTAGAGGAGACAGGTATTTCATTTCGTTCGTTGAATATCGACTAATTCTTTTCGTTATTTTGCCATTCGTAAGTTTGATCGTGGTTTAATAGGTAAGACGGAGGAAGTTAACACTAAAAAGAGGAAACGCACTGACAGCAACAGTAGCAGCAGCAGCAGCAGCAGTAGTAGTAGTTCGTCTGGCAGCGACAGCAATAAACCTGACACGCCAAAAGAAGAAACAAGTAAGAAGAAACAAACTTCTATGAAACAGTAAATTTCGATAAAATTGTAGTTCTACAATTCAACGATGTTTTTTCCAGCTGTTACTGAGAAAACAGATGCCAGTAACGAGAACGAAGAAGCGCGAGATGCCAAAGAAAAGGACCAGGAGGCCAAAACCGATGGTGAATTACCAGAACCTAAAAAGTCTACGATGGAACCAGAAGCTGTGATCGATCTGGCCAGCGAAGACAAGGAGAAAGAACCTAGAGCCTTGCACAGAACTAGTAGCATCTTCCTTCGTAACTTGGCACCCACCATCACGAAAGCTGAAGTCGAGGCGGTTAGTAGTTATATGTCATACTGAAATAAATATACGAAGTGGTTAGTGAGAGATATTTTGAGCATTGTATTCGAATAAATTTACCAACAAATTGTATGAACAGATGTGCAAACGCTTCCCTGGATTTCTACGAGTTGCAATAGCAGATCCCCAGCCAGAAAGAAGATGGTTCAGAAGAGGATGGGTGTCTTTCGAGAGACAAGTGAACATAAAAGAGATATGCTGGAGTTTGAACAATATTCGGGTAAGTTAACTATTTACGTTGCACGTTACCGAGATATTAAATGTTTATGTTTCAATGCTTTCAGCTTCGGGATTGTGAGCTGGGTGCCATAGTAAATCGGGACCTCTCGCGTCGCATCCGTACAGTGAACGGTTTGACGTCCCACAAACAGATAGTTCGACATGACATTAAACTGAGCGCCAAGATCGTTCACAACTTGGACAACAGGGTCGGTCTATGGAACGAAGATAAGAAGGATGACCATGTGTCCAAGAAAGATGAAGACAATAAAGAGAACAGAAGCACACAAAGTGCTCGCGACGTCGAGCAAGCGGTAAGAAGCGCATTTGAATATATACTTTATTTATATCGATAATAGATATTTGAATTAGGCAAAGGTCCTTTACTACTGTATGTTTCCGCAGGCGTTTGGATTGTCCTCCAAGAATCCAGTATTGAAGAACATAACTGACTACCTGATAGAGGAAGCGTCAGCCGAGGAAGAAGAATTATTAGGAATGTCCGGTGATCAAGAAGAAGGACAACTTGGAGGCGACGGAGATGGTCCGATTGAAAGAGACCCAACCCTCGTCAAGGTATAAATTCCTTATAACCTTAAAAGAGTTATATACGAATTATTCAAAGTATTGATTCGATTTCGGAATTTTTGTTTCTGTCTATAGGTTTTGGACAGATTGATTCTCTATCTACGTATAGTTCACTCAGTCGACTACTACAACCATTGCGAGTATCCAAACGAAGACGAAATGCCCAACAGATGCGGTATAATGCACGTCAGAGGATCCCCTCCGACCGCCAAGGTGTCTAGTACAGAATTATCGGAGTACTGTCGCAGCTTTGAGAGCAAAATGTCTGCTTTTCTGCAGCCAGTTGCTACCCTATCTCAGGAAGAATTTGATAAACTAGGCGCTAAAAATGCTGAAGCGTATCCTTTTTATGCGTAGAGTACATTATTACATAAAGATATAATGGGTAGAGAATTGAGTGGTGCTACTTAATTGTTAGCATCAGGAATGAGATATCGCTATAAACTTGGATGTTTTGTCATCAAGAATGCTGAGTATAAGTTGAAAATTAGTTTTATTTTTTACCACTGGTTTTTCCTACTCTTTATTTGGTTGAGTGGATTTGTCTGAAAGTACTTAAGCTCCTTAACTCCCGGATCAGTGAGGTGGAAAAATTCGTTCAAGCCAATACCCAGGAGTTGTCAAAAGATAAATGGTTGTGCCCGCTCAGCGGAAAGAAATTCAAAGGACCAGATTTCATCCGAAAACATATTTTCAACAAACATGCTGAAAAGGTTGCTGAGGTAAAGGCGGAGGCGGAATACTTCAACAACTATCTGAAGGACCCGAAGAGGCCACAGCTTCCTGAGCATCCTGGGAACAAGGCACCGCCCAGAGAAGGCATACGCGAGGGATTCAATCCCTACGGTTGCTCTACGTAAGTTTTCAAACGTGTAGCTGGGCAAGTTCAATATGAAATGTGAAAAATTTTATTAAATATCAATGTTTAATCCTTATTCAAACGATATGCTACTTAGCTAATTATTATTTTTTATTATTTACCATCCCCTACCAGGCATATACTGAAATTGTTTTAATGATACAGGTTTGGAAGTTATGGCGGAAGCGGTTACGGTGGTAGCAGAGGAGGGTACGGGTCGAGCTATGGCGGAGGATTCGGCGGAGGTTTTGGAATGCCGCGTCCCAGTCGTGGTGGTTTCAATAGAGGACGGTAAGACTACCTTTTCCTTGATTTCTAGTACATGCTTTCGCCATCTTCTTCGAGATCTGCGACACATGACATAGATAGTGTCAAAGGTTCCTGGGATATGTAGTTAAAGAAAAACCAGCTTAGAATGGTCAGAGTCGCGTTTCAAAATTGTTCTTCCATTCGACGCATTGAACGTGGTGTCATACCGCTGTTTTACAGGGCTGCTCCGGACTCAACCTCGAGGCCTCTTGTTAGTTATAATGACTTGGACCAGCTAGACATGGACATGTTCTAAGTTTTATCGAGCACACACGACTCTCGAGTCTTTTGTACGGGTTTAAAGGCAATGAACAAAATCCTCCGTGATATAGCAGATTTACATCTGGATTACGTAACACGCATGCGCATTAGGCCTGGGACTTCTCAATTCAATACTCGAATATATCAACATCGTTATTTAAACATCGCTGAGAATAAGTTTCCTTTTTTTGGAAAAATTAGCCAAATACTTTTCAAATATTTCTGCTACTTCCACGGAAGTTTTTTCTACAATTGAAAATGTAACGAGTACTAAAACAAACTGATCACGGCTAAAAATATTTAAACATGTTAGTTTCACATTACTACAATACAAATGTTATACGGTATATCGTTGATAACATGTGACGAATGGCAATAAATAATTTAAAGAAGAAAGGAAGAACTTAAAGTATTTAATTTATATACTTCATTAGTGCACAAAATATTCGATTATTCAAGTATTGAACCCGGCAAGTAGTCCCCAGCCTTAATGCACACAGTAGAGTGACAGCAAGTTGCCGATTACTCAACGTGATACAAAGTTTCAAAATTAAAAGAGAAAAAATTAAAACGAACGTGTTAACTAAAATTTAGCACATTTTTATCCTTGTTTAACATGGGGTAGAGTTGACGATCTATATATATATAAAGAAAGAAATTATATATAATGCCATAACGTGTATTTTAGCATAAAAAAAGACATTTGGTGTCGCGTTTCCCGGTTAGAAAGCGATACGGAAAATCGGCAGATTCTGTAATCGTATGACAAAAGGAATAACAAATAAATATATTTGTTACTACTCATGTATGTACTTTTATTTTATATCCCATGTCTCCGTTTGAATTCCTATGTCCAGTTGGTCGTATGTCGCGCGTTATGTTTCATCGCTTTTAGTGCACCTGCCTCGATTCTCATCTTTCTACGATTGAACGTTTCAATTATTAAAACTTATTTTAGTCTTAGGACACGCTTATTTATATAATGTTTTTGGTTCGTAATATCAAAGCCTTATTCAATAACATTTCTACAATACTGATAAAATGATAAAACATTAATAAGAAAAAAAGACGTTTAAAATGTTGAATAACATACACAAAAATGAAAATAAAAATCTCACGTTTTTATATGCTTGTACTTGTATTGCTAAAATAAAAATTATTCTTTTTGGTCAGCGGTAACTGAATATATTTATAGTGAATTTATGGAACGTAGAAAAAAAAAAATAATCTGAAAGTGGAGATGTATTTTAGTTTTGTTATGTAATCTTTTTCAATCTAAAATGAGTTTTAATAGTTTAAGCTATTACTCCAGTAATTATTTCGGACGTTTTAATTGTTATTCAACGTTACAGTGGCGGTGGAGGAGACTTCCGACCAGTCATTCATTATCGCGATCTCGACGCACCAAGAGAGCCGGACGAATTCTTATAAAACTCTAGGTACGCGTGGCTCGAGAATAGTGAGGATCCGAGGAGAACGCTTCTTTTCTCGAGCAAACGGAGACAAACTGTCGTTTTACGGCGAAATTAACATCGAAACCTGCGTACCAAATGTCTGTATATATTTATCGCACACAATAATCTGTCATTTAGATAAGAGACTACGCAGAGTTTCGCCAAAAACTCGATATATCAAGTATACCCACGAATAGCAATTGGGTTCAAGACTCAATTTCGTGAACACTTTGCATAAATAGATTTGTATTGATACATTATTTATAAATTTGCTATGATCAAATGGTTGACTACATAACTTTTTAAGAAATTAAACAGATTTTAATCGAATTATTTGTTCATAACAAATTTATGAACACAGTTGACACTAACTGGATTTCAGTCATATTTAAAACGATTGGGATCATCACCATCATAAAAATTTAAAATCTCTTGTTTGGCTTAGATTTATACGCCCATCGCCTACCCACGTAGGACTTTATACGAGGGAATCAGTTGTATACAAAAATACACATAGTTGAGTATACATAGTTCTTAGGTGTGTACAAACGCAAATAGATCTCTTGTTCGACGATACGATAAGAAATACCACTACATAGGTTATATATTATATATCACTTTATAGTATCTAAAAATAATATTCTGTTTGAACGTCTCGCGTTGCGTGGTAAGAATATCGGTATCTGTAATCGAAAACTATGATACACGCATCAATAAAAATATATACATATATATCGTTCCCTAATTGTATCCTGCGATTAAGTATATAATACCGCTTGTAACGATTTATTACGCACCACTGCATATCTATACAGCACAGTTTTACATATACATAATTATATATTATATACATTAATTACATTCGTCTCTCTGTAAGAAAAATACTGTATACGCGGTGAACGACACCGACCCATTCAACGCGAGAGAATAAAATTAAGAAAATCGATCTTTGCAGTGCCTCTCATCGGTCCCGTCACCGCAGTCATCGATCCCGTTGCACTTCATCCCCTTCGCGATGCATCTACTGTTTCTGGGTAACAAAAAATGAAAGAAAAAGAGACACAACAATTAGTAAATTGGCTTTTTTTTTTAAATGAAAGTAGAAAATCCTACTAATTGTATTTGGTAGAGCTCGATATCAACTTCAGATTACTGTTACTAGGTATATCTAAAGCCTTGTTAACTTAAATTGAGCATAGTAAGTACTAAAATAAAAGAAAAAGAGACACAACAATTAGTAAATTGGCTTTTTTTTTAAATGAAAGTAGAAAATTCTACTAATTGTATTTGGTAGAGCCCGATATCAATTTCAGATTACTGTTACTAGGTATATCTAAAGCCTTGTTAACTTAAATTGAGCATAGTAAGTACTAAGTAGACAGCCGACAATATATATAGTTAACAGCATATACTTAAGGATATTCTTGGAATGAATGTTTATAACAAAAGGGTACAAACTTACTGGCATGTGAATTCCTGCTTGTTGCACTTTCCTTGGCATCCGTGAGGCTCGTCAGATCCATCGACACAGTCTGATAAACCGTCGCAGAAACGAGCCTTCGATATGCACTGACCATCGCTGCAAGTGAACTCGTTTTCCAACGGACACGCTGGTGTCAAAACACAAAACAGTCCCCGTCGTAAGTAATCGACGCACGCGATCGATCAACGTTACAGCCGACAAGCGCGTGCACTTTCGACGTTGGAACACGTGCAGGCATTGATCAAGCGAGACGAGGTTAAGAGTTTTATATCGCCCGAAAGGTCGAGCAAAATCAAAACCGGCATTGTGCGCGTGCATAGGAACGAGATCAAAGAGATCGTTGTGCGTGCACGCATGGATAGTGCGGAAAACTCTCAAGCAGCAGGCAATCTTAATCGCGATGATCAGGACCAGCTTTGCGTGGAAGCAAACGATTCATCGTGGCGCCTGTAACTAGGGGCGTTTTAGCAGGAAAGAAAAGGAGAATTATGAAAATTAATAAACTAAGAATCGTTATTTTTCTGATACTACTATTTTGAGATTCGGTAATACTAACTTGGAAATTCATCACACTAAATGTTAATTGATTAATAGTATATCATTATTATAACGAACAAAAACATGGCAACTCTTTTGCACCCCCGATTGTGCAACGTTTGGTGATTGTAGCTTTCTATACAAACTGGTAGAGACTGATAAACCTATTAGCAAGCTGTTTACTATTGAAAGCAAATGATGTAATGAAATATATCTTGTTCAATACAAATTACTTTAAGCTTAGAAACTCTGATTATTTTTGTTTTTAATTTGCAATACGAACAGCATTTCAAGCGCATAGATTGGAAATTGTATTAGGCCGCTAGTGTCTCCAGCTCTTTGCCTAGCGATAATTGAGAGCAAGCGTGCGTGACATGCGAAAATTAAATACGTTCCAAATGAACAGATATGTGTACTCACACCGACCAAGATTACGACCTACGAAGGAGAAAAGAAAACAAATACAAAAGTTGAGAAAGGCCTTCACCCATAGGGAGGAACAGAGAGGTACGGATAGAGAGTCATGGTAGCTGATGGTATGCGAATAAAGGACTCTATCATGGGTTAATTGATCAATTCATTAATTGATTGAACATTCAACGATATATTCGTAATTACTAGACTGAGAATTTTATGCATTTATGGTGTGCAATAATGTAGAATACATACATGAAATGTACATAATGTATGCTGAATATATTCTACGATTATTATTAGGTTGTCCCGAAAGTTTCTTTCGCGAGTTGCACTCAATTATTTGATGTGGTCGTGTTTACATAAATAGACAATCTAATTTCATAGATATTCATGTTGTAACAGTAATGGAGCACAATGAGTCGTGCACAATTCAGTAATGTAACATAAAACATAAAATATTGTCCATGTATTACTTATTAATAAAGCGAAAGAAACTTTTGGGACAACCTAATATAATATATAATATATATAAATAGACAATCTAATTTCACAGATATTCATGTTGTAACAGTAATGGAGCAAAATGAGTCGTGCACAATTCAGTAATGTAACATAAAACATAAAATATTGTCCATGTATTACTTATTAATCAAGCGAAAGAAACTTTTGGGACAACCTAATATAATAGTATCGTTATTTCGTTTTGCATAAGTGCATATACCTATTGGTCATGTTTAGCACGTGTTCATTACATCACTTTGTATATACGCAGTCTAGTAACTACTTATACAAAGTCGATAATTCGCTAACCATCAGCTCGCGCTTCTCGGGATGATCGGAATCGACGAGTCGCGAGACTGTGTCTTACCAAGAGTGCAATTAATCTCATCGGCCGCATCCCAGCAATCTATCTTGCCGTCGCATCTCTTTTCCAATGGGAGGCAGGAAGTCTCGTTACCGCACTGGAAATGCGTCTCCGGATCGCAGACTGCAACAAACGTGGCAACCGTGTTATCGCGCGTAATCTTCGTGCCGCTTCTCATGTACAGCGTTCGGTATAATTCCCGACGTAGGCATCGCGCATTGTCTTCGAACGAAAACAGATTGGCATTCGAGACTACAAAAACTTTGAGAGGTTACAGAGGTAGCCGGAACTAGAAAAAAATTGTTACGCAAGTAGGGTACTCGCGGGCGCAAGTGGTCGGAACGGGCGTGGATTCTTGTTCTGCGAAGAATTGCAAGCGTTGCTAATGAAACATTGGAACATTATTTAATTTGTGATACTAACAAGTAACGGAATTGTTTTAATTTTTGTAGTATGTAAGTAATTAATATGAACTCGATCATTTAAGCTACTGTAAGATAGTGTTATTAAGCAAAGATTAAATCGTTCCAAAGAAGGTTCTTTGCTATTTAGTCGATACCGGCATTTAAGAGTTCTCTCTGTTTGAACTGTTTTCATAGACAAGAAACATTCCAAGAAAAGCGTCAGACACCGACACGCTAGACGCGCGGGGTCTTTACCCGGTGGATTACTCGGATTGTTATAGCAAAGGTAGCAAACTGAAGCCCTCGACGGTAAAGCCGATAACAGAAAGTCATAGGTCACGCAAAACTGGGCTAATGCAATATAATACATACCGCAATTGTACTCGTCCGAATGATCATAACAATTCATGTGCCCATCGCATCGTTTGGTTAGAGGGATGCATAACGTGTTCGAGCACGTCCACTCGTCGTCCAGGCAATAATGCTCGATCTCTACGCACCTATCGACAAAAAACACACGATTAAATTCTAAGAAAACAATTGACGTTCATTTAGAAAAAATTCTGTTTGAACTTATACTTTGTTTTCCTTGAGGTATATGTATAGAAGGAAGCTTTTAACTTATTACTTTAATTAGTACCCTATCTAGAAAGAAGTTCCGACATAGAAAAAGCTTTGCAGATTAGTGTGTATTAATCCTTTGCACCATGAGGTCACCTCTGGCGTGACACTATATGCAGTCTATAAAATAGGATCACAAATATTTTTGTTTAAATTCTTTGAAGATATACGTTTGTACATAAAAGTCTGGTATTATACACTTCGTATCATAGTGCAAAGTGTTATTACAGATTGATATTAACTTGTGCATACTATTGGAAGGCATATTAAAAATCCTATCTATTTCCCTAGATCGAGCATTGTAATTAGACAACCAACAACACGGACAATCAACTGTGATAGGTAGACATTTGAATCAAAAACATCTGTAAATCTGTTCTCATGGGGCAAATAGTTTAGAACTCTTACAACAAAAGTTCCAAGGCAACAGTTGCTTCAGGACTTATACTAGAGAAGTTTTATAGGATAACTGAAACATTGTTCCTATGTATTGACCTAAAAGCGTCCACGTCGAGACGATGGCACTTCTGTTTGTTGACAACGCAGAAGCCAGCGCAACCAGTTGGATCCTCGATATCGAGACGGATCCTGCAAACGGGCACCTCTTCGTCCACGAGAGCTACACACACTTCATCGTGTAAACAGTCGTCGCAATATCGGGTGGAGTTGACGTTCAGTGGACTCGTCGTTTCCGTTTCCGTTTCTGAAACTGGCGGAGTGGCACTCTGCGGAAATGTTTGGTCGTTGCTTAAAAGGATGCTTGCGATCAAGGTGCTGCTCATCGGTGTCGTCGATGCTGCAGCCGAAGTGCCGTTCTGATTGCTGCCAGTGGCGTTTGAGAGAAACATTCCTGCTGATAGAGTATCATTGTGCGACGAGCTTTTCGTTAACTTCAAGTACTGTTGGATCATCTGCAGCTTCTCGGGCTCTGAAATCAGTCGATCGATGAATCTCCTGTTATACATTCGAAAAGCACGAAATTCAAGTAACGTGTTTGTATCATTTCCTTGAACTGAAAATTTAAACTGAAGACATTTATTCGATGAAATGAATAATAGAGGAAGACATTTTTCTCTATTCAACAGTTTCTTTCGCATTTCCCATTGATTGTATGGTGGCCTAGAAGGTCGCGTCCTCTACTTTGACGAGACACGTGATAAAGAATTTAAATCGAACATGAAAACCACGAGTCAAACACGTCGTATAAGGTGCACAAGGCACTCTATATCTGACTATGGATACCTTGAGTAAATCGTAGTAAACCTTCGAAAGGCCTATTTACACATATCCGTAACGTGTCAGTTCCGTATCCGTACCGTATCAAGAACGTCACGGAGCGGTGTCGGACGTGTGTGAACATGCTCATTCAAAAACAACAGAAGAATATTTAAAATCACTGACACTGATGGAACATTACGTAACTGAACGGATACGGAACTGATACGTTACGGATGTGTGTAAATAGAGACCTAAATCCTCACGCCTCAACCGTATCATACAACTCAACTATTGTACTATTACATTAAAATAACTCATAAATGTACGAATATATATTTCCTCCTGTCATTATGAATATCAAAATTGATCCTAGTGCGTCGTTCGCGGAGTTTAGACAAAGAATGACCGAGTCTCGGCGTGTCGAAGTTTGCCGGCTACAAATAACTCGTTGCTCGGAAAATAAACGGTCAACGCCTCCTGCCATTTCTCATCATACACGTATTACACGTACCCAACGTGCTTCCTGGCCGACCGCGTCTTAAGTCGATCGGTCCATCGAACACGAGCACGCCGAAGAAACCGCACTGTTGACCCAGCGGTTAAATTCATCTCGTTGCTGCAATTACTTCGCTTCGACGAATTAAACCTCGGCGAGTCGTTCGTGCTCGTCGACTGGACGCTAGCGTGGACCGTTCATGCTTGCTTAATTGCTCAAAGACGCGAGTAAGCGAACGAACGTGAATCGCGATCGTCGCGCTGGTGGCATATTTATACCTAAGTACGTATGCATGAATGTGTGAGGCCAGTACGCGTAACGCGGAGTAAACATGGAAAATAATGCGCGATTTTCATATAATCAT